CCTGGGTGAGAAGCTCAAAGCATACAACCTGCAAGATTTAGGAAACGATACCTACGAAGCCAACATAATGTTGAGGCATCCTGCAGACGCGCGCAGTTACGGTCTGGCCACAGCCATGCTCATGGATCTGGGTTTGGATGGTGATAGGGGAATAAGACTCTTGACCAACAACCCCGATAAAGTCCGAGCGGTTGAGGGTCCCAACAGAGAAGTCGTCGTCCGAGAGCGCGTGGCCATGGTGCCGCTGGCGTGGAAGACTGGCGGTATGAAGGGAATCAAGAGCGAGGAAGTAGAGAAATATCTGAGTACAAAGGTGAGTGGGTTTGTTTTGTTAACTTCCTACCGTATTACAGTCACTAATACAACAGGCAGATTGAAAAATTCAAGCACATGTTAGATCATAAATAATAGCATTTTCAACACGTTAAATACCATTTGTACATCGTGTAATTTGGATCTGTTACACCCAGGCGCATACCGATGACACTCAGATCACTCAATGGTTTTTCAGAACGAACAGAACATGCTCCATTTCACGATGTACAGCTTGAAATCGACACTGCCTTACTACCAAGTTCAGCTTTCCAACAGCTTTCATTCACTCTCCTATTTGAACTGCAATCTCTGGGCCTGTCGTACAATACTGTGTCTAATCACACCAAGCGACCGTAGGCCAAACTCTCTATCCTAGCCATATACCAAATAGCAGCAATGCCAACATCATTCATAACTCCGATTTTACGTCTTGATTTCGCTCACCAGACTATTGTAAAGTGTGATGACTAGAGCATTACGATTTGGGTTATATACATCAGTGTAGTTATTTAATTCTACGATTGGAAAAAGAACCATATTCTGATTTTCCCAGCAATCGAAGATCAGCACTTGATAGAGCTTTATTCCGCGTTTTCAGTAGTCATTGTGATATCCACGATGCAGTTTTTCAGGTTATACCAATACGATTACATAGCACATGAAACTTGGAAATGATTTCTACAATAGTAAATATGCTGCTGTATTCCGAGTTGTACTGCCTAGCTCTCTCTTGTTTAACAAATGGAGTCTCTTGTTTTGCGTCATTCTTCATTTTTTTTTCCTGCACTTAATCAGCATTGTTTGACATGGTCATTCTCTGATGAAGAAATGGGCAATTGATGATCTCACAAGCATATTTACCCGCTTCAAATTTTTTGAACTGGCTTTGCATTTCAGCATGCATGTTAGTGATTGTATTGTGTAAAACTGACTGTAATGCATTTGGCTACTGATGTGGTCATGTTAACATTCCATATCAAGGAATTCTTTCATAGAATTACTGATACAAACATATAGCAGAAGACTCTTTTAACTCAACAGAAAATTTCTCTCTGAGTCTCCTTTGGCTATGGCTACTGTATACCCTCTGGCCTTTTCCAAATCCTTTCCCTCACTGCGACATTCAATAATCAACGCAGGAAATTGGTAAATCTTCTGTTCTTAACATCACAGCCTTACTACCCGTCCCTTCAAGATTCACAGTACATATCGTACCACACAACCCTTTAATACTTATTCATTCATCTAGTTACGAATAAAATTCTGTGGTAATTGGATGCATGTCGTTATACTATGTCCTTGCAAACATCCTTCAATATTACTTTGATTTTGGAAAAATCATTCCGGCCACCGCACTCTTCCCTTCCCAACCGCCAACAATTCAGAAAATTCCAGACCGCGATTTTCCTGTTGCCTCCAATATCTATACACAAAATATATACAAATCAACCCTATCTACATGTGCAACAAGCTACAAACTGAATGAACTTATCTACATGTACAAAAAGCTATATACAAAAGGTCCCCGAGCACTGTGGCACGATACGTGATCGAGCTCAAAAGATCAGAGGGGCGACCCGCAATCGATTAGGTAGAATCAAGCTGAAAATTAATCACTGTGAAGGAATTGATTGAAGAAGGTGCCTATCTACGTACGAAAGATTATCGCAATATATACTACGAACTAGTCACGTGATACTACACCACAGCACATACCTAGGTCGTCTTCCAGTACAAGCTTTCACCAGACGTTTGACTGTATCCGATTTCCCTTTCTGCAAATGAAGTAGCACTCCCAGTTCCAACCTCTTGCTCCTCCCAAAACCCTTTCATGCATATGACAACCCCTGCCTTTCCACATCTCGAGCTATCTTCTCCTACTTATACTCACGCCCCTCGATGCCCACGTGAGCCTAGTAATTACAATCCAGCCTCTCGACCTCCATTTCCACCGACAATTCTCCGCATACGAATTCCACACAGACCTTCCTGTATCAACACTAAGGCGCCATAATTTCTCCGGAAAGTAAGTTTAGATTCTGGCCGGTGCCAGTGCGTAAGGCGAGCGTTGCGTCAGAGAGGCATGGCGAGATGGTCACATGCAAGAGCTTGGACACTAGCAGTATGTTGGGCAATCACATGAAAATTAACAAGCGTTTTCCCAGCCTTTGTGGGAGTACATGGGGTAGGGGCTGGAAGATTGCCAAGGGGGGACCGATTGGATTAGTCACGTTGGAGGGGTTGGGGGCAGGTTTCTATGGGACGTGGGGTTGAATTAGCCCGCACATTGCATGTGGAAGATGATATCAAAGTGTAGAATCGGTCTTTTGTTGCTTTTCCATTCACTCTTGGACTTTTAGTCAGTTTTGGCTGCAAAAGAAAACAATAGAGCCTGTTTCTACTTCAGCATTGTACAATACGCTCTACTTCCATCACGTGCATCCGTTTTATCCCCTTCAGTGTAGTATACTCTGCTACAAAGTTCTATCCGATGAGTTAGCAGAATGTCAAAGCCACCTGAGCGTACACCGCAAACTCGATCGATTGCCGTACCAAGTCTTGATTCTCCAGCTACAGCACCGTTTTGTGTGAGGCTTGCAACGAGGCGTGTCCAGACTCTAGTTTTCGCCTTTTGAATCACTCTAGAAGCAGGCTAGAACAACAGTAATGCATCTCTAGAAGACTTTAGCTTCCGTGCTAGTACCATTGTTGCATTCGAAAATTTGAGGTGTCTGCAAGATTGAGTTTGGTTGTAAAGGCTACACTGTTGTATAGCTCGATCGCAACGTGGTGGTGACAATAAGGTTTTAAAATGTCCGAGTAATGGCTGCGATATCGTACGTGCTGATAGGCCCGGGTGCGCCTGCTGGCGAATAGCGCGCACTTAGGGTCCCATGGTTTCACGCGGGAGGCAGGGGACAACGCTAGATTCCAAACTCTATACGGGTCAGCCCTTCGCTAACAATGGCGCCATAATGGATAGTTGCAAGCCCTGGGAGACTTGGCTCGATCACTAGTTCAGCCCCAACAGAGTTAAATTAGTTAATTAGTATCTATTTTGGATGGTTAATTCACCCTGCTAGGTATTATGAAGGGTATGGTTTGACTGGCATATGCCAAGCACCTCCGCTATCCCACCAGCTTATGATGACATTCATCTGGCACGGCCCGTATCGTCCTTCTCCGCCGTTTTACTGGTGCTAAATGAAGTTTAGTAGGCAATGAGTTGTCCAACTCTATGTATGGCTACAGCAGATGACAGGAAGTAACGTAGCCCTACCACATTTACTCGGTGCATGAGATTATCGTACATTCCAGGTCAGTGCGTGCATACAATTACGGTGAGTGTCGTGATAGAGCATCATCGTGGCTCATAGCTTTCTTCCTAGACAGGGCAGTCTTGCTTAGTAGGCTCCCAAAGTCCTTATGGCACAATTACATCAACGCAGACTTGCAAAAGTCTAGCGTTTGAGAGGCTTCATGAATGGCGACGAGAAATGAGCGAGGGGAAACTAGGCTTGAAACTACTACGAAGGATTTCCCCGCTGGGCGGTGAACTGATCAGAGGAAGTTGCTGAACAAGCGTTTAGGAGTGACCGTTTAGGTCTACACCACCTGTGATAGCCCAGCAAGGCGTTATTGTTCCTTCGGAATCTTACTATACAACCAAGCAGTGCTTGAATACGAAAGAATTAGGCGAATTCACCGCTGGCATTACAGCTGTCAATTCTGAACAAGATTCGGGCTGCTATGCATCCGCATTCGCGAGTCTGTCAAAACTCAAACACTGGCAAAAGAAATCGAAAGAAATCAAGACATTGAGTTTGGCATACGTGAAGCTATGATGCACAGGGCGACTCTACAATTTACTCAGCTAATTCAAGACCTTCTAGAAGACGCAACAGTGATGTTCTAGTCGGTGGCCTTAAAAAAAGGTGGGGTCATGTACATGAATCGGTGGAGATTAAGTTTGAAGAACACTGGAATTTTGATATACACGTTATTTTAGGCCGATTTGAACATTGGCACAGACGACACACGGCTAAGGGACCGAGCTCTTTGGTCAACGACCCGCAGCATTAGCGTCCACATGGATGACTTCGATGTACCAGATCCAAGCAACAGAGACTCATGATCGAGATATAGAGAGATAGATAGCCTCAAGTAGTCTGTTCATTGTTGTATATAAGGAGTGCAGACGACCGCTCAAATAGAATCATCAACTCACATTCACAACCATCACTCGCTAACACAGCAACTCACACTCTCTTTTCCCAACTATCTACTCTCACTCTTTACTATTAAAAACTTCATTCTCTATTCCAACTCCAACAATCAAGATGCGTTTCTCTACTGTCCTCCTTGCTGGCACTGCCGCTCTTACCAACGCTGCGGCTGTTCCTCAGCCCCCTCAGCATTCCAGCCTTCCCATTGTAGGTTTCCATCCACCGTACGAGAAGAAGTTTAGTTTCTCACCAGTGATTCAGCCTGTGACGGGACTCGAAGTGCTTCATGCTGCTCCCGTGAAAGTTGGTCTCAACCGCAACGTTGATGTCGACACCAACGCCAAAGCTGGTCTTGATGCTGACACCGACGCTGATATCGATGCCGACGCCGACACCCATCTCGAGAAGCGCGGTGCAGGAGCCCGTCTCAACGGTGCCGCCGATGGTATTGGAGCTGGCGCCTCAATCGCCGAAGCCATGAGCGGCCTCCTCCAAAAGCTGTTCCCCATCAACAACTGGACCTCTGCCCGTGAGACCTTCACAAAGGCCACCGTCGACGCCATGTGGGCCAGGAACCCCGACCGAAGACGCTGGGTCGCCGCTGCCTGCTACAATATGAACTGGGACGTTGCCAACCGTGGCGGAATCTCCGATGTCGCCAGTGTCAAGCTCTCCATGGGCGCTCTCAACACCGACTACGACTGCTTCTATATTGGTCGTAACAACGCGCTTTGGACTCGTGGTGATGGTGGCTACATTAACGTGAGTTTCCAATTCCCATTCCTACCTATTTCAAGAGGCAATCTTTGACTGACCGACTTCCTATAGCTTGCCATTGTATCCGACAGCAATTTCTGCACTTTTGATGGCCGCACCGCCGACCTTACCTGCCGATAAATTCTACGACCTATTTACGCTATCAAGAACGACATAGAATTTGTAGAACTCAACTAGACTAGATTCCTTAGATTTTTCCTTTGCTTTCTGTTATAATATCGTGGACGATAGAGGTTTGGTGCCGAAGAAGCTTCCTCTGGATTCCTCATGGCTGCTGTAATCATTCTTTTTGAATACTAACGTTTTTGTATTTATTCCGTAGTAAATACAACCCTTTTAACTATCCTGCTTTGGTGCCTTTGTGTGTGAATTTCGTGATGATAAATAAGCAATAGCGAGTGTTCACCAATCCAATCATTCTTTTGCACATCAAATTGCAGGGAAAGCAAACCAAATCACCCCCCACTCAAGCACACTCCTTCTCAACCTGCACCAACACCTTGACATATTCCTCTACACTTTTCGCCCCAATATGCGTAAAATCCCTTTTCTTCCCCTCAAACAAAACATACGGCACACTATCCACCCCATTCCCCGCCTGTTCCCTAATCGCCGCTTTAACCTCACGCAGCCCTTCTCCTTCATTCCCCACCACTTTCTTCGCCTCATCCCCACTCAACCCAGCAACTACACACGCCTTCTCCAGCGTCTCGCGGCTCGCGGGGTCAGCCCTATGTTCAAAATACTGGCTGTACAGACTACCTGCGGCTTTCGCCGCAGCATCCGGCCCCTTGTTATTCTGCAGCCAGTACAGGATGCGATGTGCATGCAGCGTATTACTCAGGGGACCGCCCTCGAAATCAAACTTTAGACCCTCTGCTTTCCCAATCAGGCCCATGTAATGCGCGTACGCTTTCATTTTCTCGTCACTGCCATGGTACTTTCTCTCCTTGTTCCATTCGTACCTGTCGACGCCATCTTCGTAGAAATCCGGGTACAATTGGTAAGGGGCGAGCTTGAGTGTGAATTGGGCGGGCGAGTCTGGATTAGCTGAGCGATAGGCGTCGAGGGCTTTGTTGAGACGGACAAAGGCGATGTATGTCCTGTGTTCGTTGTATCAGGTAAGAGGTATATAGGCTGTGCAAAGCGGGGGGTTTCGCTCAAATTACCAGGGACATATTGTGTCAAGAGTGAATGTTATGGTCGATTCGTATGGCATGGTGGATCAGCTATTCCCAAAAACAGGTTTGCAAGCAAAGGAAAGAACACAGCGTACTGTTGCTATTATAAAAACGTCAGAAGAACATGCATTGATCCGGGACTACCCTAGTCGTGCATACCCGAGCATGCGGATACGGGCTGCGGGTCTCCGAAAGACGTCATGCGGGGTGGCATGCAATGACCCTTGCTTCGCTACTGGAACTGATCTGAACTGTGGCGCAGTCATGCTACAAGAGAGGAAGCTGCCCAGCACGTGACATGGAGTGGCTAGTGATCTTTCTCTATCAAGAACTCAATTCCACTTGGACGAAAAAAAACTATCATTGAGGATGCTTTGTACAGCAGAATGCTCAAATCTAACACAATGGTATTGAACAAGAAACCTGAAGCGCCATGAAGATATGCCTCAACAAGTGTTACCCCGCAATCGCAAGGGATGAGGAGGCGAACTGAGCCTCGACTAATGGTTCAGTTTGACGTAGTTTCCTATAACGCTATTAGGCTTGACTTTGAATTTTCTTTTGGTTTGGAACTCACCTGGAAACTGTCCTTGCTTCCCCCGCACCTTGCCAATCCACCATTCATTTTCATTTTGTGTACGGGAAACAATCTCGATGATGTCACCAGTCAAGAAACTCAAGTCGCCCTCAGCTTGAGCTTCGTAATCGTACAGCGCTGTGACAGTCTCAGCAGCCGGTACCCCACTGAGACGAGAAGGCTTAGGTTTTGGAGGTGGAGGCGCTGCACCCTTGGCCTTGGCGGCAGAACCCCATGAGCCTGATGACAATGCAGGAGACTTGATATCGCCGGTAGCGGCTGCTGAAGGTCCAGGACTGTATGGTGGTGGCGGTGCTTCTGTCTCTACGGATAACGAAGTTCGACCAGCCTTGGCTTCCAGTGCCTTTGATGCATATTTGGACTGGCCTGGTTTCGCCCCTGCTATACGAGCACCGCCGGTAGTCTTGAACTTGACAATGGATATCTTTTCCGCCTCTTCCTGGGTATCCCCGCGCTTCTTGAGATATGCTGCCTCAATATCTAGGGTGAGATCGAAGTAGCCAATGTCCAGCCGTTGCATGCGCTCATGTAATGTGTAGAAGACGTTCAGCTGCATGTAGTAGAACGACTGGAACAGGGGCTTGATAAACTCTCTTTCCAACGCGAAGAGCTTCGGTAACTCATCCTTGAGCAGATCATTGAAGTAGTTGAAGTCTTGTGTAGCCTGCTCTAAATCATTCTCGGCCTTGTACATGGCCTTCTCATCCTTCAATGTCTTGTCTTTCTTCTCTTCAAGCTTCTTGTATGTGGCGCGGTGCCTATCGTAGTCGAGTTGCTTATGATCGCGCTTAGCGGCAATCTTGCGTACGGCTTTTATGATTATTAGGAGCTCATCCGCAGGTCGAATGACACGAGTCTCTATCATTTCAAGCTCGGGCTTGAGGGTTTCCTGCAATTCCTGAACTACAGCCTGGTATTGTTCACAAGCTTCTATGCCGGCTGCGTTGCCTTCGTCGTGAAACGAATCGGGATCAGACATGCGGCCGGAGATTGGCTTATAGATCTCAGCAATGGCTTTGGAGAACTCGATTTGGTGTGTGAGCATGCCTGGGAGGAATGGTTAGGCGGGTGTTGGCGGGGCCGTGTGAAGTATGGACGTACCATTTATGGCCTCAAAGTACCTAGAAGTGTAAGCAAAAAGTGATAGAGAAAAGCGTTGAAGTGAGCACATACTTCTTTGATTCATCGTGAAGCTTCTTTGTCTCCTTCTCCAACTCCTGGAAGCGTCGTTCGGCGTCTGTATAGATTGGATCTTTGGTGATATCGCCCTGAAAGACGTGCTGTTAGAGGTGGACTTTTATTCTCGATAGGATAAGGAGCGCAAAAACGCTAGAAGTATAGTGGTAGACGAGGGGACGTACAACATTGAACTTTTGCTTCAAGGTTTGTGGCGCCTATGCGATTGGGTTAGCAAGCCATGATGCCCGAACAGCGCGGGGAGTTTGTCGTACTCGGGAAACGCTCTTGGTCAGGCCTTTCCAACTCATGGCGGAAGTATGTTATTATGGGTGCGCAAGAAAGATGGGCAGAACACAGTAAGGGCAAACTCAGGTCACGGTACGGAGGTGGATTGATCGGGAGAGGCAGCAGGTAGCGACCAAGGATCGCGAGCGCCTGCGTGGCTGCTCAAGTCCCAATGACGTTTGTGGCTATGCAGCGCGCAGCCCTGCTCTGCTCGGAACTCCCGGAACACACCGAGGGATATCACTGTTGGCAGATGACCACACCCGTACCCGCTGCAAGCGGACTATTGATCGGTGCGTATGCGAGCCGCGAACATATTGTCACCCCTGATATCCCCGTTGTTTTTTTCGCGCACCCAAAGCCCAACTGCTGCAGGGCGACGACAATTCCAGCGTCCAGCGTGTGGTGGGCTCGCACGGACCGGCTAGTGCCTCGGCCCGTTCGTCCGCTTAGTCATTGGAAAAAGCTCAAGCTAGCTAAGAGGCGACCTGCCTTTCCCACCTCTTCACCATTGCACCTCCATTATGCCCAACATTGCACCCACCATCGCGAGGCAGGCCCTGCGCATTGCCTCTCGCCGCTATCCATCACCAGCGTTTGCACGCACCGCTGGTGCGGCTTCACGTCGTCACTATGTCAGCGAAAGCAAGTCCTCGCAGGCGACGGTCAATGTCGACACAGCGATCAAGCAGGAGCAGCGGGCCTTTTTAGACAAGACGGGTGGGCGGCCAAGTGATGCGACGATGCCAACAACAGGCATGGGAGCAGATGCCATGATGAGCCCTAGCGCCGGTAAGATTCAATCATTTGCCCCTCGGCCCCGCCTCTCATGAGACTGACAAAATCAGGCATTCTCAAGCAGGCTACGGTAATGGACCAAGGATCACGGCCCATCTACTTGGACATGCAAGCTACTACGCCCATGGATCCTCGAGTTGTAGACAAGATGATGCCATTCATGACCGGCATGTACGGCAACCCTCATTCGCGAACTCACGCCTATGGGTGGGAGACCGACACAGCCGTAGAAGAAGCTCGCGCAAACATCGCCAATCTGATTGGTGCAGACCCAAAAGAGATCATCTTCACAAGCGGTGCAACTGAAAGTAATAACATGAGTATCAAGGGCGTAGCTCGATTTTTCGGGAAAGGAGGCAAGAAGAAGCACATCATCACAGCGCAGACCGAGCACAAGTGTGTGCTCGACAGCTGTAGACATTTGCAAGACGAAGGTTTTTCAGTCACTTACCTGCCAGTAGGGAGCAACGGTCTCATTGATATGGCTCAGCTCGAAGCTGCCATGCGTCCAGACACTGCTATTGTCAGCATCATGACCGTGAATAACGAGATTGGTGTGGTACAACCTGTCGAGGAGATTGGACGTCTCTGCCGATCGAAGAAGATTTTTTTCCATACTGACGCAGCGCAAGCTGTTGGCAAGATTCCCATTGATGTCAACAAGATGAACGTTGACTTGATGTCAATATCTGGACACAAGATCTACGGACCGAAAGGCATTGGTGCATGTTACGTACGGCGACGACCAAGGGTCAGACTTGAACCCATTATCAGTGGCGGTGGCCAGGAGCGCGGCCTGCGAAGTGGCACATTAGCACCTCCCCTTGCTATTGGCATGGGTGAGGCTGCGCGGATCTGCAAAGAGGAGATGGAGGTATGTATCATGCCTTTTTTCTGTTCTGTTTTACCACCACGATGATTATTTGCTTTATACATGCATGGCTTTCAGAGTGTTAGGCGGCTTCGGCCGTCGACTCGCCATGTTGACAAATGTGCAGGGGTTATGAGTTCTTGATGTTGTTGATTTGTTCAAAGACATGACAAGCTAGGACATTGTGCTGACTCTGTCTAGTATGATACCAAGCGCATCACAGCGCTGTCAAACCGTCTTCTCGAAGGTCTGCTATCACTCGAGCACACCACATTGAATGGTGATCGCGAGCGACATTACCCCGGTTGTGTCAACGTATCGTTTGCGTATGTCGAGGGAGAGTCACTTCTTATGGCGCTGAAAGATATTGCTCTTTCGTCTGGGAGTGCTTGTACTTCGGCGTCGCTTGAGCCAAGCTACGTTCTTCGAGCTCTCGGCAGCAGCGATGAGAGCGCACACAGCAGTATCCGCTTTGGCATTGGCCGCTTCACGACTGACTCGGAAATTGATTACGTCTTGAACGCAGTCAAGGAGCGGGTGACGTTCTTGCGAGAGCTGAGTCCGTTGTGGGAGCTTGTTCAGGAGGGTGTTGATCTCAACACGATTGAGTGGAGTCAGCACTAAGTAATTCATTCATTTTGATACCCGGGTGGGATTTGTACGGTAGGGAGGCGTACATTCTTTTAGCGCTGGTTATGGCTACGCTCGCTGAAGCGGTGACGAGACACATGACTATATACTGTACTATATGCAATAGCTCTACGAATGAAATGTATCGAGCGACTTCACATACCCAATACATTGCTAAGGACATGGATTTGAATTTTGTGTATTGTGCCTACAAGGTCACGGAGAATGCAAACGCGACAGGTGGAAGCCCGTGCCTGTCCTGAAGATTGATGACGGAAGGATTGGCTGGTCTGGGACGCGATGGCGAGTTGCCAAGGTGCTGAGGGGCAATGCTCAATGCTCCGATGATGTCTTGGAGCTCCCCAGGTCCCCACCAACCTTGCAATGGCCAGCGAGAAAGTGCTGAATTGGCTGTACAGCGTCCTTGTCAATGCAAGTCAAGTCCGTCGCGTCACACCACTCGCGCTAACACACCAGCAGGAATACGTGGACGTAAATCGCACCTATCACGACGCGGCCGAGACTCTTGCCAACTACCCGTCGCTCAGCGTTCGAACTGAGCCCTACAGTCAGTCGGCCTCCGAATAGAGCTGGCACAGAGGCTGACAAGAGCAGCTTACGAGAATGGCGTGTCGGCGCTCTTACTGCTCCTCACAGGTACGCTGCCTGTCACATTCCGCGGTGCGACCTATGGCTTTCCGGTAGCAATATGGGTGCCTCATGCTTACCCACGAGAACCGCCCATCGTATACGTGACACCCTCTCAGGACATGGTCTTGCGGCCTGGACAGCATGTTAGCACAGACGGCAAGGTCTACCATCCGTATCTGGCGCAATGGGCGCAGTATTGGGATGTGAGTATTCATGCGCTCTGCAGGCTATGGATCAGGCGCGCATTTATAAGGTCTATGATAGCTGACTATGACGTAGAAGTCAACTCTCTTCGACTTTCTAGCAGTCTTGCGCGGCGTTTTCGCAAAAGAGCCACCTGTACGATCGAGACAGCAGCAACCACAGCAAAGTGCGCCCGCGCAGCAAGCTCCTCCACCCGTCCCTCCAACCCCAGCTGAATGGCGACGCGCAGCACATGGGACAGCCATTCCCTCGCCTTCACCAGCCGTACCGAACCAAGCTCCTGCCCCTCCCCCCAAACCACCAAAGCCTCATGAACAACAGCGATCTACGCCTCAAACACCGCATGACAGATATTCGCAACCGCCTCCTCTACCGCCGCATCCACCCCAACAATCTCAGACTAGATACGATGGGCCATCTAACTGGCAGCAGCAGCAGCAACAACAACAGCAGCCGCCAATGCCACCACCACTGGGACAACGGTATGAGCCCAGTGGACACGAGAACCGCAACGTGTCGATGTCACGGCCCCAACATCCACAAGTACAGGCGCATAGCTATCCTCAGCAGCCGTTCGAAACGGGAAGTCCAGTGAGCCCAATGACGCCCAATGGCCAAATAACCGCATCACACTTTCAAGGCTCAGGACCTCATCAAGTTTCTCCTCTCCAACCAAGAAACCAATACCAAGGACCCCCGGCACCTCCGCAACAGCAATTTGTTCAACCTCCTCCAGCACAACAGCATTACCCACAGTATCCGCCAGGTTATCCTCCGCCTCAAAACCAAAAATACCCACAGCAACAACAACCGCAACAAGCACCAAAGCCCCCAGTCGACCTTCTCGACGATTCACTGGAAGTCACACTGCCCTCACAGTCAGGCAACCAAATCCCTGTACCAGTGCCGCCGGTGCCACCGAATCCTGAAAAAGATGCACTTCTTCGGGCTCTCAGCCAGACGCTTGTCTCGCAAATCAATCAAACAGTTTCATCTAATATGGCCGCCATAGCACCACTTCGCGCCCAGCAAGCGGCTCTTCAAAACGCACATGCTCGATTACAGGCTGAATTGGGCGAACTGCAGCAGCTTGATGCAGCGCTTGCCTCGAATGAACAGGTGTTGAAAGGTGCCATGATCGAGGCGGATCGAGTCATGGAAGATGCGAGAAGAAGAAAGGCTCCAGATGTTGATGATGTTCTAGTAGCGCCGACCGTAGTTGGGGGTCAATTGTATACTCTGACTGCGGAAGAGAAGGGCATCGCAGACGCGCTATTTGTTTTGGGGCGAGCTCTTGACAAAGGGCGTATTACCCCGGATGTATTTGTCAAGGTACTCAGGGTTATCCCACGATTTGCCCCGTCGAACAGATGCTAATATTCTACAGCAAACACGGAGTCTTGCTCGAGAACAGTTCTTGAAAAAGGCGCTTATCAAGAAGATTGCCAGAGGAATGGCATTGGACGAATATCAGATGCAATAAAGTCGGTTTCGGAGAAATATGGACGACTTGGAAAGCGCTTGGCGATGTTCGCTTGACATGATATGTATCATACCTTGATCTCCTGTTGCTCCATATTCAATCACAGCCATCTAATGCCAAGAGTACTGGGGGCTTTAGTTTTCGGTTGCTTTGGATGCAATACAATCGTGCTATCATCGAGATACATAGCGGAAATCAGGCTTCTTGGGTCGTGACAACGCGCCTAGATGGTTACAAAGCTGGTGACTCATCACCAATTGCTCAGTCATCGTCATAAGCGCATCCATTTCATAGATTTACCTCGTAGCCGAGAAGCATGACCAGGAAATTTGCAAGACGGACAGAGTGGTTTAATCAAGGCTTAATCAAGCTCATGATAGTGCCGAGCTAAGAGATGCTCCTGCATCGATTTTCAGCGGGCCTACAATGTTCCGGTGCAGCCTCAGGCTAAATTAAGCCTATCCAGTACAATTTGGGATCAGGCAACCAGCGCGCTATGGACGTGGCGAGGCGGCAGGAGAAGTCTTGACTCTCTGTTGCCTGGCAATCTCTTTCTTCTTTATGCCTCGCTTTTGACCGTTGGCATCGCGCATTCTTTTGCGCATTCACTCGCTCGCATCCATATCGACACTCGTTTTGTTATCTACTAAGTAATTGATCAGTAACTATCTCTAATAATGTCTACCTCGCAACCTCATGTCGCCCCACCCGCAACCGGGGCACCAACCACGTCTTCGAATACACAGGATTCCATACCCCAGACCCCAGCAATACCATCGGAATCAGTTACCAGACCGAGTGCGAACACCAACACAAATGTGAACCAAGACACGCCGATCACCGCTGCGGGTGCTCCCTCACCCGGTCCAAATACGACGCCTACTGTAGCCCCACAAGCGACCACAGCCGATGAGCAACTCTCATTGAATGACAAGCTTAATGCTGGTGACCGATACTGGAAGTTCAAGTTTGCCATTATGGCCGTTATCATCATAGTTGGCTTGATCGGCATTGGCTGTTTTGCTTGGCTCATGACCACGCACACCGGGGGCTCTAATTACTACATCCTCGATGAGTACTGGGCTCTTTGGCCCAGTCTGATCTCTTGGTCCATATCCATCGCCTGGTGCCTCATCTGCATCATTGTCTTTGTCGTGCGGAAACGCACTGTGCATCCCGGTTTGCGCGTGTCGATGGAACTACTCTTATGGCTGGCCTTTATCGTCACTGCTCTTTTTGCACTGTTGTCTCTCCGAAACATAATGGATTACGGCATGTATGGCGGCCCTGATGAATGGGGATACGACTACTCTAGCTCCAGCTCTAATGGAGATTACGTCTTAGCGGCCAACAACACCTGGGTCTGGCAGGAGGACACGAGCTACATCACCAGTCCCCGCGACTGCACCAGCCGCTACAGTGTCTTCTCCGAGATGAACTTCAAGGATTGCGCCGAGCAAGATGCGTTTGTCAACAAGCTTTGGGCCGAGAAACCGCAACGCTCCAGAGTCAACCTCACGGGTGTCGTATGCCAGTTCTTCTCCTTAGTCCTACACTTTGTCCTCTTCGTCTGGGCCTGCGTCGACACCCACCGGCGCAATCGTACAAAAGTTAGCAAGGATGCTGAGAAACTCGCTGCTGGCATCGTACAGACTATGATTGGCAATGGTGCTATCATTCCTCCACCAGGACAAGCACACATGCAGGCAGGCATGGGGCAGAGGATGTATTATCAGGCTCCTCCCCAGGGTTATCCCGTTCAGCACATGCATATGCAGCAGGCGCCGGGACAGCAACAGCAATTCGCAATGCCACAGCAGATGGGTCAGCAGCAGTATATGGTGCCAATGCAGTACCATCCAGGACAGCAAGGTGTCGGTGTCGCCGGGCCGAGCAATGAAAAGGGAGCTGGACCGCGGTATGCGTGAGGGACAAGTTGAGTGTGGAGGATACCCTACTGAAAATGAGGATACCTAGTCTGAGTAATTGTGTAGTCGAGATACCCCCCCAGCAATATATATTTAGTGACATTTATCACGCTTCCTCTTTTCGATCTTGTTTCGTCGTATGGTTCCACATGAGATAAAATACCGAGTGAATGAGAGAAAGCGACAAAAAATACCCAATCTTTTGGAAATATCAAACACTTCTATGAAGTCTCATCCTTGACACTGAAAATCCGTACTGAAGTATCATCACTCGCAACCGCAATCTGTTCTTGTCCCTCCCCCCGTGTACCGGGCCGCCAGACAATCTGATTAATCGTCTTAGCAGGCAGCACCTCCTTCTCCACCATAGCCACCGCAACCTGATCCAGTGCCTCAACGCCCACACTTCCAATCCCCAAGTCACCATTCTCGGTACCAAATGCAAACACGACTTTACTACCCGCATCGTTGCGCGTGGTATTGCACGCCACAGCCGTGACGGGTGCGTTCGCCGCGACCGTAGCTTTGAGCGTGACTTGTACATCGGACATTTGCCAAATCTTGACGCTCTTATCTCTTCCGGCCGTCATGAACGTCGGGTGATGCGCAATGGCAGTCCAGGCTGCATCGAGAATCATGCGAGAGTGGCCTTTTGGATTTGCGTGTTTGAGAGCAAAAAGCGATGGCGCATCAGGGCTACGTTCCCAAATGACCCATTGACGGTCGCGGCCCACGCTCAGGAGGTACTTGTCGTCCTGGGAGAAAGCTAGGGAAGTGACGGTAAGGGAGTGTGCTTTTAGGGGCGGTTTGACTTCGAGCCATTCTTTTGTGTCGTACAGGCGGATCACGGCGTGGTCGATGGAACTTGCGCGGCAGGCGGTGGCGACGAGGCTGGCGTTGTGGCTGATGGCTAGAGCAGAGATTTCGTAGCCATGGCCGTAGAGTTTTTCTGTTTCGGGCCAGAGGAGGTGGCGGGCGAGGTGGTCTTCGAAGGGAGGGTGTTTGAAGTCGAGAGTGGATTTACGGATGACGGAGGCGGGGTCGATGGCTTCACGGTCGTCGTCATTGCCATTTTCGATGGGGTCTTCGTCACCGACGGCTTGGATGGCTTTGTTTGAGAGGCCGAGGACGGGAATGTTGGCGGCGTCTGGAAGTGCGGCGGAGTCGGACGGTCGTGTGTCGCAGAGTTTGTGGAGCATATCTGCAACGCCTTTTGGCTCGTCAAAGACACGGAGGAGCTTCTCGTCTGCACCAGAGATGAACTGGGTGTCCGAGACTGTATCGATGCAGTTGAGATCGTATCCGTGAATTTGTGGTCGTGAGAACTCGTGCCATGAAGGCGACATGCCGTCACGCTTCCATTGTGAATACAATCGTGTTGTCTGATCAGTCCCAGTTGTGAGCAGATACGAGCCATCTCTCGACCATGACACACCCTTGACTTCACGCACATGCCCTGTAACTGCTACCTGCTGTGTCCACATATCTTCTGTAGCTGAAAATGACCACTTTCGCCAGCTGCCAGTACGGCCGAGGGACACTACTGTGTTGCCGTCTGGTGACCAAAGCCCAATCCAGAAGCCTCCTGCACTGCCAGTAGCGCTTGTCGAACCTTTCTGAGCACTAATTTCTCCTAGCCTGGTGATACAAACCCATACACCAGAGGTAGGATCAGACTCCCAGATCGACAGAGAATTGTCTTCTGAAGCAGACAGCAGCTGTAACTTTCCATCCCGGTGCCGCCACGACGCTTGGTAGATCCAATCTTCATGACCTAAGAGTAAAGCTTCAAACGTAATAGAATGCTTGGATGTAGGGGAGCTAATCCAATGAGCTTTGTTCGATAGCGACTTCCCCATGCCACCCAGAGCTGGGTCATTTAGCGCAGTGCTCGCAGCAGGAAGTTCGTCTCCTCTGTGAAGTCGCCAGAGACGAATATACTTGTCTTGGCTTGCAGATGCCAAAAGAAGATCACTGTTCGGGTCTGCTGTTTCTTTGGTAAAAGCAAGTGCGCGGATCCATCCTTCATGTCCGGTCAGTGTAGCCGAAAGCTGAAATTGACTGTCTTGAGATACGAATATCTGGATGGTGGTACGAGTACCAGCGACAGCCAACACGGTTGAGCTTTCATCCAATTTCGCAAGCGCTAGGTTCAGGGGAAAGTATTTGGGAGAAAGCGTTATTGTCTGGACAATGTCGACAGCAATTGAAGCAAAGTCTAAAGAATGAGTGAGCCTCCAAATTTTGACGGTACCATCGGAAGATCCCGTAGCAAAGGTGTCTGATCCAGTAACTGTAGCTATCCGGGTGACAGGTTGCTGATGTTCCGATATGGTTTTTAGACATTCAAAGCGTTCATCTCTCCTGCCTCGCCATATACGGATGGTGTTGTCGGCTGATCCACTAAGCAAGACTGAGACGTCTGGTGATTGCGTTGGGAAAAACTTGACAGAATTCACAGGCTTGGTATGCCCACTCAAAATTGCATGTACTCCGCGAAGTGCCTCATCCTGCCTTGGTGAGTGAAAGGTACGTCATTGCTGTTGTGGACTCACTTGAGGATCCCACAAGGCAATATTATTGTCAGCGCCAAAAGCTAAGAATTGCAAACCAGCGTCATCCCAATCGGCGGCGGCCGGGTTTCGGTTGCCACCCGTGGCTATGAATTCAGGAGAGACGTGCATTGTTTGCAATGGTTGTTGTGCCTGCGCGGGTACTGTATCTAGTCATCCCGCCGTAAGGATTTCTCTGGCGCTAGTCTCGCTTAGGTAGTAGTGGCGGAAGACCCGTTTGCACCCTCGGTCAGACAAGCACAACCCATCTCTGCAACACGAGTATTTCAACCTTGTCAGTCTTTCTCTGGCTAGTGTTGATAAAAATCATGTCGAGCGATGACACCATTCCAATGACAGTCGAGTTCAGGTACATTTTAATGGCATCTTTGCAGTGCGGTATTTATTGACTCCCCTCACAGTGGAGGGCTCGAGATCCTTTTTGCAAACCAGAAGAAATATGATCTTTCGCTACCCACCAAAGACGAATCTGGCAAGCCTACAAATGTTGCTTTTCTAGTGAGATTTCTTTGTGACAATGTCATGAAGGACCCACGCAAGGAACTCTTTGTGCTAGACGGCACTGTGTAAGTCTAGAGAGCAAAGCACCCTTGGACCTGCGCTAACATGTTGAGTCAGACGGCCTGGTATCTTGGTCCTCATCAATGAAGCCGACTGGGAATTAGAAGGGGAAGATGAGTATCAAGTACAAAAGGGGGACCATGTCATGTTTGTCTCTACACTTCATGGGGGTTGAGATATGTGCATAGGGCGGAGGAAACATCAGTGTACCCGAGTGATTTTTGATGTACGAAACATGCGTGGCGGTGTGTAGAACGTTAGAATGGTCAACGTATCCAAAATACAAGCCAGAGCTACAAGCGAAAGCATAGTCTGGCTTACATAAGGTGTCGATGCGAAGTTGTGGAATAAGTGCAGCCGGCATCGATGGCGCTACATAGCGCCATCACTCTTGTACTATTCTCTTTGTCTGGATATAGGCATCAGCCACACTTCCTATGTACTGCAGATTGCCGAGGATATCGAGATTGGCAGGATACTTAGAGCCATGCCAGCGTGGTGGCTTAGCGGACTAAATAGGCAATACAGACGATGCATGCCGGGCAAGCCGCTGCGGTCAGTGCATGAGGTGCATTCATCTATCCGAGCTCGGGCTCTGGACTGTGCTTGTCTTGCAACAGGGTCAGGGGCAGTTCCAATGTGCAGGGGCGAGTGCGACCGGTGAGGCGAAATAATGACAAGTATCATGGGAATATGCTGGCATGTTGGATGTGAAAACAACACGTCGAGTTAGTTGCTTTGTGTTGCCAGCAGACTATCAAGGCATCTTCAGGCCGCTCTCTGGGGTGTGGACATTAACCACTGCCAAGCTCTGGCCACGTGATCACGTGCGAGCGTGTTCCCAACCAAACGCGTGCAATTTGTCCCTTGTTTACCCCACCATCAGCACAATCGACAGCAACGACCTTGCATCCACCAGAGTTGCAATGCCATCCGATGATGAGGACTACAAGTTGGCTGTGGCGAACTCGCTTCGACACGCCGATGCGGACGTCGCGCGGAATATCAAGGCAGTCTCCAGCGAGCCTATTGACCTCGTCTCGGACACGGATGACGATGACAACGACGAAGACCTCAAACGTGCTATTGCCCTTTCCTTGCAAGGAGACAGCAATGATAACCATGTGCAGCCACTCGACAAGAGTACAGCGATACCTACTCCTGTTAAATCAGGTCTCAGCTCCATGGGCATGGATCGAAAAGCCATGGAAGAAGAGCGTCTCGCAAGGCTAGGAAAGCGGAAGCGCGAGTCGTCTCCAGAGCGACCTTCCAAACAGGCATCGAAGACAATATCGCCTCCTGCGCCATCTACAGAAACAGTCTTACGCTATCCTATGGGCACTATCAAACGGACATTCGCCACAAAATACCCTAGGACAGACGACATTACCATCGATGAAGTCCTAGAAGCAGACACAGTTCGCACGGCAGTCATTAGTTCGTTCATGTGGGACTCTGAATGGCTGTTCAAAAAGCTCAACCCCGTCAAGACCAAACAGGTATGGATCATGAATGCAAAAGGCAAAGACGTCCAGCAGAGATGGCAAAAGGAAATGGAAGACATGGGCGTACCGAATCTGAAGATTCATTTTCCACCCATGGACGGCATGATTCAAAGTATGCACAGCAAGTTCATGCTACTCTTTGGTCCAAATAAGCTACGTATCGTAATACCAACTGCAAACATGATACAGACCGACTGGGGAGAGGTTGCGAATGACTGGCAGCCTGGTGTCATGGAAAATTCCATCTTCCTCATCGACCTGCCACGCAGAGGCAATGAAACTACTTCCACCCAGGAGAACATGACACGCTTTGGCCAAGAATTGATGTATTTCTTGGAGATGCAGAAAGTACCAGAGATGGTCTTGCAGGGCATCTTGAACTTTGATTTTTCACAGACCAGTCACTTGGCTTTTGTTCATTCCATGTATGATGGCTTACATGATAACCTTTGACTTCAGCTAACACATTGTAGTGGTGGTTCACACAAGACTGAATCAGAGCATCCCACAGGCCTTCCAGGCCTCGCCAGAGCTATCCAGGATTTGCGTCTTGACAATGTCGAGCAGATAGAACTAGATTACGCAGCTTCCTCGCTTGGTGCTATCAATGATAGTTTCCTATCACGCCTGTACCTTGCAGCATGCGGTAAATGCTTCGCAGCCGACACGGCCACGGTTTCCGATGTTCGTCGTCATATCCGGATCTACTTCCCCACCAACGAGACAGTGGAAAAAAGCATCGGAGGTCCTGACTGTGGTGGTATCATCTCCCTATCGCAACAACGTTATAACGCAGACACATTTCCGAGAGAGTGTCTCCGCGACTATGAGTCATCACGAGCAGGGATGCTATCTCATAACAAACTACTGTTGGCACGCGGTCGTAAGGACGGACGGCCAGTTGGATGGGTTTATGTTGGGTCAGCCAACCTGTCGGAATCGGCATGGGGAGGGCAAAAAGTGATCAAGAATGGCAAGATGGGCAGTCTCAACATAAGGAACTGGGAATGTGGTGTCGTCATGACTGTGCCAGAGGACAGGCTGGGAGGGCGGGACAAGGACAGGGACAAGACAGTGCCGATGAGCATATTTGAAGGCACTGTGGAGATTCCCTTTCGAACTCCTGGGGACGAATATGGAGCCAGACAGCCTTGGTTCTTCAGACTGGGGTGAGGGATCATTTGGCGGTGTTCGCAGCGGTGGGCATGCATGATTCGGCGGATTTGCGGCACTACGTAGTCTTGTCAGATGGGCTATTGCTCATTGCGGAGGACAAAGTAGTATCTATCGAAGGCTGTGGACATAGGGGTCGTGTGCATCGTGGCTGTTCAACTACGTCAGCAGAAGCAGCGGCAGTGTCATAATGTAACCCGGGATCTGTAGCACATTTTTCTCGGACGAGGCCGCTGTGTCGTAATGCGGGATTATGTGTCCGGGGTATCCTGCGGCTGTGGATGGCCTAGTTCAGCAAGATGCCGGTCGTGGATCGGGTGGTGCTGGGCTACCGGACCAATTTCGGGTTGGTGGCGCTGCCCGCGCCAGTATACCCTGGGCGCAAGCAGACACTGGCTTGGACAAGGTCATGGCCAACGTCCATGTTCGTATGTGCTTGACGACGATGCTGCCATGACCCCCCCAACGCCGCCTCTGCCTGGACAGTCAATGTGCTGCTGTCGACCTTTCTCATGTCCAACACACATGCGGCCTCTGGCATGCCTCTAACGGCTCCTGTCCACACCCTGTCCACGTCGCCAGCGCTATCGCATCCGGATGCGGCACACGCCAAAGAGCTTCCGCTACACCTTATCCATCTGATCCTCACATACGTAAGTATGCACATGTATGCCATCCGAGCCTCGAAAGAACCCATCCGCTAACCCTGACCCAAGCTCGACCATGTCGCTGACCTTGCGCGCATCACACGCACCTCGCGCCTCATGTATTACATGACGCTGCCGCGCTTGTACGAGCATGTCACACTGCGCGCCTATTCGGAAATCCGATATGTCGATGGCAGGCCGGAGGGCTATGGCGGTGGCAGCCCCTTTGCCATGGGACTGAACACGCTGGTGTCGCGCAACTTCAACAACTACATACGCAGATTCCGCGTCCTGGGCAACTGGCGCGAGCAAGACACCGAAGACTACAGACACGGCCGTGTGCCGGACAGCAGTATGGTGCTGCAGGTTGCTATGCGTGCTGCAATCGACCGCATGACCAATCTCGACAGCTTTGCGTACGTTGGCCCCTACACGCTCCCCTCCAACTCCAGCTCCTTGGCTTTGCTAATGCATTTCCAGCTGGGAACTCAACACTCCACCATTGCACACTATCTACCAGGGTCTTGTGGATAAGACCACGTTGACCTCACTGACCATTAGGTGCCAACGGCGACGTACACCACGCCCCACGACCATCATCCCCCCGCTGCCCAACCTCCAAACCTTGATTGTCTACGATATAGATCCTCTCTGTTATCCCGATGACATCTCACTACTTTTGTTCGGCTCCAAGAAGCTCGAAAACATCACACTGCATTGGAGCCCACGCATGCGCGCCGAGGGCGAAGAATCCGTCAATTTGCTGTCCATATTTGGTCGCTGTATAGCTGCCAAATACTCATTGCCGGTTAAGCGCCTTACCTTGTACAACTTGTATTCTCGCTACCTCTCCGAAGACATCTATGATGTCTTTAGTCGGAAAACTAGGACTGAGATGACAGTTATCAATTGTGGGGGCTCTTCTGATCCTCTTACTGTCTTCGTTGACAACTCATGGAAGGCAAGCCCCGACCATGTATTTTCACCCAACCTCAAGATGATTCGTACCGATGTTCCAGATACTGCTCTGGCTCAAACACTAGGCAGTTGCAAGGACATAGAACGTGTCTATTTCATCGCAAGTAGGCGAAACGACACCCTGTGTTCAAAGTCGAACAGCTGCACTGCGACACCCACAACGCCATCCCACCTGACACCCAGTATGAGTAGCGGCTCTGCGAGTGCCAATGGCACACCCGATAATGGGTTCGAGCTTCGTACCCGAAATGTTGCAAGCGAGCACATTGCTGCTATCCAGACAAATCACCGTACAATCCGCCACCTGCTCCTTTCTGATCGATGGATCTTATCCGAGGATACCTTGTTCAAGCTTTGCCAATCGTGTCCAAATCTGGAGCAACTGGGCTTTGCTGGCGTTGTCCCACCGCTCCAGTCCCTGCGTCAAATCTTTGCCCTTATCCCCAAGCTTTGGGCAATCCGTTTTTTGGTCCGCTCGAACACAGGTCCCAATGAAAACCCCGATATGTTGGATCCAGAGACCCACGCTTTCGCATTTGCAACAGAGTTTTGGCGGCCGGAATACCAAAACATCAAGTATGTTGGTTTTGGGGAAGACTTGGTGTTCAAGTTTGGTGGAGTATATTTTCCGCCAAATAGCAAAGAGCCAAGCAATGGTATTGAAGACAAGAGCATAAAGGCAAAATTGGCTGGGCCGATGAGAAAATTCCAAGTAGTAAGCAGGGAGAACGTCAAACATGTTGAGATTTGGGGCATGGATACCACAGAGTTCGATCCCGAACTCCCTTGAAAATATTCCTTCGACGAGACTACAAACACAATTGGAGATGTTCCTCAAACATGGTTATATCAGCGGCCGTGAGCGACATTGCGACTACATGCCACACTGATACTGCATGTCTTATGGACAAACCGCTTTGTCACAGACTACCATGCGTACTATGGAGTCGATTCGATAACAAAGCAAAAGATCCTCCAGGCTCGCGCTAGACGAAATTCCGTGAGATTCGGTGCTTCCGTTTTCTTCACGACGTTTGCCCACTATCAGCCAACCTCAATTGTTCGACGTGACATCTCTTGAGAGCGTTATATACAAGATAGTCACCATGAACAGATTCGCTCCACCGTGTACGAATCCGCCGTGCGTTTACTCTACGAACACGCTGTAGCAAAGCGAGACACGTCACTTCTTGCCAGCTTGTGGAAAGTCTCTCAGCTCATCCTTTTTCTCGTCTCAGTTTTACGTATGTCATTGTGTTTTTACCTTCTTCTTTCGCCACTTCTTCATGATCCTGGCAAATTGTTTGTTTCTTTATCATTTGCCACGGAGCCATAGCAAGCAATCCAAATGTACTAATGTTTGTCTCCCCTCATTAATCTACGCAACTCGCCCGCCCGAATCAATGAGACATGTACCATGTCCCTCTTTTGTACATCAATCTGTAATACTCTCCCTTTTTGGTTACCAATACAAATTCCAACCGCCTTGCAACATAGGTCACAGCGTAACCATCCAAACTATGATACACACCGCTAGCGACTTTGCCAAAAAAAAATATCTTATCATCAACGAAGCTGGACAAGGTAACTGCGGGAAAGTACTTTTCTGTGTTTCCGCTCCATCGGCCTCAGATGAGTCAAACAACTTAAGGCAAAGCACGATTGTTGCCGCTGTCAAGACGACGCAAAACGGATCATTGGGTCTCGGCCTTGCTCAGGAGATTCTAATTCTCCAACGTATCCATAGCCTTATTACTGGCAGTTGGGTAGAGCGACACTTGCCAGTTCTGATCGACTTTGATCTACCAGCAGCAGGACCAGGGTCATACTGGCTCGCCACAAACGCAATCCAAGGCTTCAACCTCGTCCAACTAATCAAAGCACTCATCCTTCCAGTTCCAGTCTGCGGAACAGAAAACTCCCTCTCGCAAAACACCGCACCTCCCCCGGCACTCCCCCCGACTCTCATGCTACACATCACACAGCAACTCGTCCAAACTGTCGCATGGCTCCACACCACCGCTAAAATCGCCCACAACGACATTTTCAGCGGAAACATCATGCTCGACATCTCCCGCTGCAACTTTTCTAGTAATCCCGTCATCCTACCCTCCCTCGGTTCCAGCGACACACTATGCGCAATAGATCGTTCGTCCATGTATGAATTCCTCTACTCACTCGGTGAAATAAGCGGATTATTTACCTCCTGCACCATATTACAGGACGCAACGGAGTTCTGGGGCGAATTGATGCAGATGCTTGTTGAGAATGAGTTGGACCGCGGTCTGCGTACTTGTACGATGGGGTTTGGAGAGTTTTGCGCAAGGTTTGAGGGGGAGATGGTGAGACAAGTAGAAAGTGGGGTGGGTGCGGAGAGGGAGAGGGCGAAGGAGTTAGTTGAGCGCGTTGTGGCGATGAGGGAGGTTGAGTTTCCTGGGGAGGAGTGGGTGAGGGAGGTTTTGGCGCGGGATAGGGATTTAAAATAGATAAGATCGTTTTGCACCATGGAACTTTTATGAAAGATGAAGTGGTGGGAGATATCCAGGCCCTGGTAGATAGGTGGCATTTAGTCAATGGAGTAGTCGTCTTATGAAGTTTAAAGCTTTTTTTAAAGCGTCGTACTAATGCCCAAATATGCTTCGTGGAGAACACACATCACTTAGAGGGTGTTGGTCATATGTTCTTCCTTGGGAATAACATTTAGTGAACTGGTGTTGATATTGCTGGACTATGAACTACAATAAAAATCAAAAGCATACAAGACATCAGGTGTCTTCTTTGGAGTACAAAGCATCTCACTCTGATACTAGAGCTTGGTCGACATTTTCGACCAGCCCCGCTCACAACCCATTGCATTAGTACCATAAAAGAATTACAGATGGAGGTGAACATGCTCTCACCAACCACCTACGATTGAAAAGTCGGAACTATTACAGCCTGGAAAACCATATGTCAAGGTTTGCAGACTCTCACCGTATCGAGTGTTTATTATTCACAACGCTAATGTGCAGCTTCCAACCTGAAACTGCATTTAATTGCTATCAGAAAAACACTTCCCTGTGTGAACCTGCCTAAATTGGCCTAGGTACATTATGAGACATTAGTGTAGTACCTAGCTAGGTATGACTGGCAAAGGTTCGGTCCGATCCGGATCCCTTCGGATACGTTGTAGTGGGCCCGGTTATATGGATTTCCAAGCTTCTTGATTTACCATGTCTGCAGTTTTTTTACCCAGCCAGTCAGCGTTGTTTAGATTCATTAATGCCCAGAGTAAGCAGAAGGAAAGCTAGCTACAAACTTTGTATTTATTTCTAAATATTGCTACTTAGGTCACAGACATAGAGAACATTAACTTAAGTATCGCTAAAGACGCGTTTAGTTGGCGTAAAGCTCTTTAGCTATATTATGGTTGCTAATAGGGTAAAAATACGTTTACAGAAATGGTGTACTGTAGCTACCAGCAAAACTTGCTTACCTGGAGGCTCTAAAAACAATCATCAGGCTCTTCCCGCCGATAACTCTCCATCTTGGATTAATTCCAGGGAAATACCAAGCTGTTCTTAGCAGCTCAGCGGAAAGTCCATTCCACACAGCATAGCTGTCACTCTCTATCCTGCCATTTGCACCTCTTGTTAGTGGCCTACATGTATGAATTTGGCCTACCACCACAGTGATCGAGCACCAATGAAAAAGGATAGTCAACTCGACAATGAATATTGGCGCTCAAGTACTGGTATGCATGTGCAGGTTGTTTTGAAACAATATTCAAGCCTAATAGAACTAGGAGAATAAGGTATCGATAGATGATGATTCATGACAGTCCTCACAAGTAACTACACTTGGGTGTGGCTAGGGTGTTTCTTACACCCTGATCTCTTCCTCCAATCAAATCATGTAGATATAAGACTTGCAGCTTGTTGAAAAAGATTTGTGCAGATCTGTAATTCTTTCAAGATCGGCTTAATAATACTTATTGTTCAATAGCTATTAAAGCGCATAGTTAATAAGATACGGAGCTGCGAAAATGGCTGATTTTGGTGTAAAATCGCTTACGAGGCCGAACTTTAGTCCAGTGACTGTAGTATATAGCCGCTCCTACAGCTACAGTCTATCGTCTCCTTATTTTAAACGGTTATAGCAGCTACTCTACGCTAGGATTTAATTATTTCTATGCTAATAATAAAATTGTTGCTCTCTATATACCGTATTATACCTCCTATCTCCTCTAGCTACTTGATATAAGCTGCTTCTTACTGATTAAGCACGCATACGGACGTAAGATTAAAAGGCTCGCCCGCTAAGGCGTCTACTACATACGTTAATAAGATAGACTTCCTTACAGCTTGTATAGGGATCTGGCCGACAGTTTCCATACAGTAGAATATCCAGGCAGGTTTCTAAGCGACAAGCCTTGTCCCTACTTATCTAGATCGCGTTCCACCGTCGCTCACAGTAGCAGAGCTTCAGTAGCAGGTACGCTATCTCTAAGAGCGACTGCACCACTAGCTAGAGAGCCCAACGAGTGTT